ACCATACATGTATACACAATACACTCCATACAGATACACACACACACAGAGACACGAATGGAGGAGGGGACAGGAGAATAGGCCTTACATGATGAATGGGACTTTGAAAGACAGAGAAGGTGGCAGCCGTTATCCCAGAAAAAGGTTCCAGGATGACAAAAACAAACAAATACAAACAAACAAACAAACAAAAAACAGCGTGTTTGAGCCTCAGTGAGATCAGAGTGTAGGAGGAAGGTTAATATACAGGACATGGCTGGAGGTGACATTGGTCAGAGATGAGGGCCCACGGGGCAAACCTTGAAGAAGATGCAAGGAATTTGGCTTTGCCCCACTGGACAAAGGCAATGAAAGTCAATTAAGGAGAAATAGAGGCATGTCTGCATGTGTGTATATGGCGATAAAGAAAGCACACTGGGCTGAATGACCACTTAGGATGTTACCGGGGTGGTCCCGAGGACAGCAATGAAGCAATAGGACTAGGTAGGAGTGGAGACAAGAGAACACTCAGGGAGACCTGCCAAGGCTTAGAAGAAAGCTTAGTGCAGAAAGCAGTGTGTCCCCACGGTGAAGCTTGCGGACTCCATGGTCCTGCTGCTAGGGCTCCTCCCCAAGCCTCGTCACTTCCCAGCTGTGGGATCTTGAACAAGTCCTCTCACCTCCCTGAACCTCGGCGTTTTGTCTATAAAAGAGAGAAAGAAGGGCCTATGGTGTCCCAGAGGGTAAAAGAAATTTCTGGTCAAAGCATATCACCTGAGTCTGATTCCTGGCGCCCACATGGTGGGAGGAGAGAACCGACTCCCTGCAGCCGTTCCCTGACTTCCACAGGCATGCTGTGTCATGCACGCGCACAGTAAATAAAACACAAGAGAGGTAGGAACAAAAGGTAGGAAGAGTAGCTGCCTCTCATGCACGTTGCCAAATTATAGGTTCAAGGCACTAGGAGTGGGTTTCATCCATTCACCGAGCATCTGCTGTGTGCCGACACTGTTCTCTAGGTAACAGATATAACAGCAAACAAGTTAAAACAAAATCCCACCCTCGTAGGATCATACTCTAGAAGAGCGCGGGGACACGTTAGACAAGATAAACAGAGTACACACTGGAACAGGTGTGTGTGGCAAGGGAGAGACTCCGCAGGGGAGTCTGGGAAGCTGTGAGCAATACCACAGAGCCATCGCCAGTGGGGTCTGAAGCTGATGGCTTCAGTGGAGACAGAGACAAAGCAAGGAAAGAGCAAAGGATGCTGGGTGAAGAAAAAATGCAGGAGCAGATGCATTGTCCCCAGAGATGCTATTGGAGCCAGGATGGTAGCAGGGCTGGAAAGGGAGGCCCTGAGGCAGGGGCCAGGGAACGTGTGATTGGGACTGTGGGCACAGAAAGCAATAGAAAGAGGCCAACAAGCCAACAAGCATTGGGGCTCCCTCAGAGAGCTTTGGCAAGACACAAGAATGGTGTTCTCATAACAGTAAGGGGGACCAAGCAAGGCATCCATCGGACCCTGCCACTGAGGTACCAACCCAGGGAATCAGCAGAGAGTACAGGACAGGTTCATCCTAACTCAGGATGCAGAGTCCCAGGAGTTGAATGGGATACAAGGAGTCGGGGCTGCAGTGGCACTATGGGAGACTCAGGGAGATGGGCCGTGGCCAGGAGCTGGTCCAGGCACCTAGAATGATCAAGCATCCTCTCTATGAAACTATGGACTGTTACAAGAGAATGGGGTCTTGTTGCAGGAGGAAAGGAAGGTTTAGGGACTCAGCGTCACACACAGGAATGGGACTTAATGACTTCAGCCTCCAGGAGGAATCTGGTAGCCACTCCTCTCCCTCAGGAGAACCAACATCCGGTTTGCGATTGGGATTGAGGATAAATTAATTAAAACGAATACTTCCTCCTTGCGTTATCAGTGCAAGGTTGGTTCAAGGGGCTTGGGATTTGGCCGTGAGAAAGCCAGGCTCTGTCCCTGCCCTGTGGAGGGGAAGCGGATGCTGACTGACAGCCAGAATAAACAGCTATTTCTAATGTGCGTGCAAGCCTGCTACAGAAAGCACAAAGGGAAAGTCAAGCGAGTCCTGGAGGAAAAGGCTGAGGGAAGGGGTTGCCAAGTTAAATGAAACGTCAGTACGTGCCTGCCTAAGCAAAGGCCCGGAAGGGGAGCAAGCCATGCAGACATCCAGGAGAAGGCTATTTCTAGGTGTAGGGGCATCCTATGCAAAAGACCTCAGACAGAAGAGCTGGAGAGAGGAAACCACCAGGGCGGGGTGGGGGAGGGGGTCACAAGGACAATCAGTCCGCAGGGCCTTAAGATCCATGGAGCACATCAGGGGGTTTTTACTCTGGCAGTCACATGACTGGGTCCTTACCTTCAAAGGGTAGCTGTGACTGCTTCGCTGAGAATAGGGAACCACGGGGGTGGAAGCTCATGAATGGGTCAGATTCTAGATGTGCAGTCTCGCTGTCTGTCCCTTGCGCTACCGTCTGTAGCCACACTCTGCCTTGTCCCCCCCCCACACACAGAAAGCCAGCACCAAATGTCCTTTAATGTCCTTGCAGCAGCTGATAGTCACTCCTTCATTTTTACTTTATAAATATTTATTGAGCCAGGCATAAATACAAATAGCGTCCCGAGCAGGCAGAAGGCCATCATTTGAGACTCGGCATTTCTAAGGCACCAGAGGCCACTTTTGATGCCCTAGAAAGCCACAGGGAATTCATAAGGTACCTCATTCAGTATGAGATCCAGGGGACACTGGTCTCGCACCCTACGTCACTCCCATCATTCCAGCTGCTCCTCAGGGAACACAAAACAGCAAACGAATGATCACTCAGAACACCCTTCTCCAAACCTTCCTGCCTGTCTTCCTCGGCCTCTCTTAAAAGTTTTGTGTGTTTTGAGACAGGATCTCACAAGCTCTAGCTGGCCTGGAAGTTTCTGTGTAGGTCAGGCTGGCCTTGAACTCATAGAAACCAGGAGTTCTCGTGTGAAGCTGGCTTTCTCCTTTTCATTTGGTTTTGGACGCATGCTCAAAAAAATGTTGCCGCCCACTTTTAGGGTGGGTCTTCCCCCACCTAAAATGAACCTAACCAAGACAACTATTGACCCTGACGAACTGAACCTTCAGCCCATACTAGCTCCCATCCTCAGGACAGAACAGGGTCTCCCACACATAGGTCTGGAGATGTGTGTGTGGGTTTGCCGCTGTCTCTCATGAGCCTGCTGCTCACTGGAGGCCCAGGCTGGGAATGGAGTCAGAAGAAAGGACATCCAATATAATTGCTTTCCAGAGACCTCAGGGTCCTACCAAAAGACCGTCAGACACGGCCGCCATTGTTCCAACTCGTCCTTCAGCTGCCACCAAACTCACACCTAGGACCAAACATGCCGCTCGCCAGGCCTCAGGGTCCTGTCAGCAAAATATTAACACCTTATCAGTTCTGCAAAGAGTAAATGAGACAATATATGTGTTTGGCTCATTGTCATCGCTTAATAAATTCTCACTGCCATTTGCGGTGTCTCCTTGACTCCCCAGTTTCATCTGTTACAAGATTATAAACTCTCTGAGATAAAGCCGTGTCTTATCTCCGTCTCCTCAGAGGCTATAGAGACTCTGAAACACAGTAGAGACTTATCAATGCTGGAATGTGAATAAGGGCCCTTGGGGTTTAAAGTCTACCTCTCCCAGGAGGTTCTTCCTAAACTACGTCATTGTTTTCGAGCTTTTGTACAAGTACATACTGTTGAGCACCCGACATACGTCTGTTCCTCCTTTTTCTCACCTGTCTTCCTCCTCCCGGTCCCCATTGTCCTCCACTAACAATTTTGCCTCCACTTTCACAATACACGCATGAGCATACATGCAAACATATATGTGATTGTGTGTATCAACATGAAATCTGGGAACCACAAGGGAAAGAAAACCTGGGATCTGTCTTTCTGCGGCTGACTCAGTTTCTGTAATGTGATTATCCCTGGCTGCATGCATTTCCCTGCAAATGGCGACTTCATTCTTCCTGAGGAATCTAAAATATCCCACCATGTTACAGATCTCATTTTCTACGGGACTGCCATTCTGACGGGTGGTATGGGCTCTCAGCATGGTTCTGACTTGCATTCCTCTGGCAGCTAGTGAATTTGAATATTTTTAAAATGTTTTGGTCATCTGAGTTTTACCTTTTGAGAACTGCTCATTTCCTTAAGTCATTGATCAATTGATTCATTTTATTTCTTGTTTAGTTTTGAGTTCCGTGCACCATCTATACACTAACCCTCTCTATCAGATGGATGGAGAATTTCTCCCATTCTCTTGACCAACCCTTCATGTAACTATTTCCTTTGCCATACAGAAGCTTTTAAATCTCACTGGTCCCATTTGTCAATCATTGGCCTTACTGTGGGCCAATATCAAAAAGGTCTTTTTAGGGTCATCTGGCCTAGGTTGCAGAATCTCCCATCCACACCCACTCTCTGGGTGTGAGGCATAGCATGGGAAGATGGGCTGGACAAGATGACCATGTCACACTCTACCCCAGAATGTATGAAGGCTCGAGTCCAAGTCCACTCCACATCTGGTTTTCCCCATCAACATTCTGGACAGTAGTGAAACTGTGGGAGAAGGGACAGAGAGCGTGGGATGCAGCTCACTCAGGAAATGAAGTCTGTCATCTTTGCTTGCTTCCTGCAAGAGGCCGGCCTCTGCTCTGGCCACCAAGACAGACAACAAAGCACTGGAGCCAGCCTTGTGCTCCCAGCTCTCCGCCTTCCGTTATCAGCCAGCCTGTCAGGAGATAAGGCCAGCAGAGCTGTCTGGGCTCCAGTCACAAGGGAGAAGATAATTAAAAAGATGACGCTGGTCAGGCCGTGGAGGGGGCGGGTGGGGGGAGACACCTGAAAATCTCACTGGAGACATCAATAGGACCGAAGCTGGAAGCACAGCCTTCCCTGAGAAGGGGCAGAGTACTCAGCACTTAGCAACTAGTGCCATCAGATGGGAAAAGTTCACCAGTCATGGGACTTTGCCTGGCTCAGACAGAGAGATGAAACCCAGAAAGACCCTCACTTACACCTTTGCTCCCCACCATTCAGAAGCATCTGGCTATGTGGGAGGTCCTCAGAGACCCATTAGGTCTCCATTCACAGTCCTGAAGATTCAGCTCTGGGAAGATCTAGATGGTAAAAGGATGAAGCAATTTGTTATTCTTTCCACTCAGTTGGCACCGAGAGGTCAAAGGAGAACCAATTATGTCCTACCCACATCTCCGTACAGAGAACAGTTGCAAAATAACCTCGCAGGACTAAAGGTGCTCCGATGAGTTGGTAGAAATATGACAGAAGAGAGAAGATGGGGTGCCAAGAGAGGGATGAAGGATGCTGGGCAAAGATAGTCTGCCCTCGACCATTCCGAAGGAGGAGGAGGAGAAAGCTCCTCCATCAAAAACAGAAGTGGGGCCAGATTTGCAGGCAGCATGGCAACACGGAGACAAGAAGGGGAAGCTGCTGAGCCCCTAGTGTTCGAACCGCATTGCTAAGGGGTGGGGCTTAAGCGAAGAATGGGCCCTGGACTAGCTTGCATTCAAGGGGCTTTGGTGGTTTTTGGTAGGTAAAAGAGGATGGCAGGGATGATGGGGACATGCTCACTTTGTGAGCTGGAATGGGCCTGCTGGCCACTGGCTTCAGTCAGGAAGAGTACATTCTATGCTGGGAAGAGATAAAGTCCAGATGGAGGTGGCACCTTGGGACCCGTGTGCTGGGGACAAAGAAGGAAGGCCATGGATAGAGTCAAGAGCTTTCCCTGAGAGAAATCCCAGCCCTAGTCATGGGTTGTATGGGGAATGGCAAGAAAGACCCATCTGGAAGGATGGCACTGTCCTGATTTGGGGGTCTTTGGTGACTTTTAAACCCCTTCCATTTTTGGTTTTTCGAGACAGGGTTTCTCTGTGGCTTCGGAGCCTGTCCTGGAACTAGCTCTTGTAGACCAGGCTGGTCTCGAACTCACAGAGATCCGTCTGCCTCTGCCTCCTGAGTGCTGGGATTAAAGGCATGTACCACCACTGCCCAGCTGACTTTTAACCCTTAACAACCCAAGTGTTGACTGCAGAGAGTTGGTTTTCTGCAGCCAGGGGGAAGGGACTTGGAGAACCGCTGCCAGTCAATACCTTCATTTTGCAGAGAAAAAAAAGTGAGATGCTCAGAGATGAGAAGACATAGGGATGGGATGAGAAGTGAGTCCCTCATCCCCACGCACAAACCAGGTTGGGGGGATAAGTAAGTCCAAACTGTTGGTTGGTCACTTCAGCACTGGCCCTAGCTCTGGGTGCCACCGGGTTTTTAGCTTTTCTACCTGTGACATGAGACATCAGTGACCAAGTCCCCTGCTCTCGGGATGCTCACTAACTCTGAAGTCCCCAAGGTAAACAAAGATCATGAGGCTTCAGGTTTTAGGGCACTCAAATGAGATTAGGCTTGGAGGGTTATGGGCCTCTCCTCAGTACCCAACTATCCTGTCTCCTTCAGCAGGCCCTGAGCTGAGGAGCCAACAGAATGCCTGGCTTGCTGAACCGCATCACGGGGGCAGCCCTGCCTCTCACTGCGTCTGATGTCACCACTTATGTCAGCGGCTATGCCCTGGGGCTCACGGCCTCCCTCACCTACGGCAACCTGGAGGCTCAACCCTTCCAAGGTAATGTGTGTATTTCCTGGAACCGCCTCTTCCACATCAAGCCCTTGTCCTGTCACTCACTGGCTGGCTGGTACTGGGCAAGTGTGTGACCTTTCTGCTGGGCTCCTTCCCCACGGGTTTGAAGTGAAGGAGAACAGAAAGCAGGGAGAGCTAAGATTTGGGTTCTGTAAGGAGGAATTGCTGAAGTAGCAGTACCTGACGAGAAGCCGCACGGGTGGAAGTGTGGATAGGACCCATCACTGGGCAGTAGTCTGGGTAGAGGACAGGCTGGCTGTCACACACCTCTCCTTCCCCCAAGCAAGGGATTGACAGATGTTGGTCCGGGGTTAACTGCAGGCAGAATTCTCTCCCCTAACCCCTTTTGTGTTTGCTTGTTTATTTGATTAGATGGTTGGGGTTTTTGTTGCTGTTTTTATGGTTTTTTTTAGACAGAGTATTGCTGTACAGCTCTGGCTAAACTGGTACTCACTATGTCATCCTAGCTGACCACATACCCTCAGCAATCCTCCTGCCTCACCTGCTAAATGCTGGTATGGCAGGCAGGTGCCACTGCATTCGACCTGGACTGCCTTCGTATTCGGGGTGATGGAGTCTCCTGATGGCTAACCCATTCTCCCAGGCCCTGTGTCCAAACTCTATCACTGCCTCAGTGCTGCTCTGGGGACCAGCACTACCTGAAAGGAACCTACATGGGAACTTTCTTCTCGGGGATGTGGGCTGGACAAATGGCCTGGCTCTTCTGTTCAAGGGAGCCTAGGCCTGGAGACTGACAACAGGCTTACCTAGGGACCCTGGAGACACTTATGAACAGCTGTGAGATTGACCGGCTTTCCTCTTGCAGGAGGGACAAGTGTCCCATTTTATAGATAAGGAAACTGAGGCTCTGAAGGACAGGAAGTCAGGATTTGTGGAGTCCTCACCACGGTGTCAGCACTGTGCTGTCTCCATGCTAGAGGAAAAGAATTGAGGTCTTCAAACTCAGCATCACTTAAAGCTGACCAGAAATGCAGGCTCTTGGGCTCTGCCCTCACAGGAATTCAAATCCAAATGCCAACAACCTCCAGACAACTCGCATATTCTTCACGCCAAGGAAATTCAGTTCTAAAACAATAGCCAGGCGTGTTGTTGCTAACTGGTAATCCCAGCTACTCCAGAGGCTGAGGCGAAAGGATTGAAATGTCAAGGTCTAGCTGAGCTATGTAGCAAGTTCAAAGCTAGCCTGGATAACTCAGTAAGATCCTGCCTCAAAATAAGAAGTAACAAGAGGAGATGGGACTGTCATTCGGCGGTAGATCACTTGATTAGCTCATGAAAGGCCCTGGGTTCAATCCCTAGAACGTCAGAAAAAGCAAGGACATAAAAATGTGTGATACCTACTGTGTGGTACATGTCTTAATGAGGCTTGCTGTAGGTGGGGACACTAGACTTAGAGATGAGTGTCCTGTCCAATGTAGCAGGGTTAGAAGACATGAAAGGCCTGGATCTGAATCCTTCTCTAGCTCTTCCATGGCCCCCCCTACTGGTGGTGCCAGCGGCAAGCCAGTGACTGTGGACCAAATTCACTGCCCAGGTATGTACTGCTAGTCCTAGGCACAGCCTACACAACAGCCCAGGTTTTTATTTTGCATGGAAACCAGCCTCTCTGGCCCCTGAAGCTCAGACATCCAAGGGTGAAAGATGTTGGGTGTTAGACACAAATGTTTCTTCACGCTACCTGTTGCTGCCCTCATCTGCCTGCTCCCGGCCTTGGTCAGCTATGTCCCCTCAAGGGTCAATGAGTATGGTCCACAAATCTAAGTACAGGCAGATCCAAGGTTGACCCCCCCACACACCGGGAGCTGGACGTGTAGGATGGGGCTGAGCACCCTGTGACGCTGGGCCTCACTCCGCCAGGTCTGTTCGTGTATCCGATGGATGAGTATACCACAGTGGTTGGTTTTGAGGCAGTCATTGCTGACCGTGTTGTCACCATACAAATCAAAGACAAAGCCAAGCTGGACAGAAGTCATTTGGATATCCAGTCTGCCACTGTCACAGGTAAGACAGAGTGTGGTGAGGCTGACCTGGATGGACCACCCGAGCCAGAGCCTCAGGCGCATGGCAAGGCAGCATGGGACTGTCTTTATTTTCATATTCAAGGTGCAATGAGGATCCAAAGAGGGCAGGTTCCAGATCTTTCCGGCACAGAGACCGCGTGGAATGAGTCACACCACGGGCTGACTCCTAGCCTAGTTTTCATGAGTGATGTGAGCTTAGATAAAAAACAAATCTTGTCTGAGGACTGGGGAGATGGCCCAACAGTAAGAGAGCTGGCCGCACAGGTGTAAAACCCTGAGTTTGGATCCCCAGTACCCAAATAAAAAGCTGGGTGTGACTGTCTGTCCTTAGGACCCCCAGCACTGAATGGGGACAGGGGCCAGAGACACAGATGGGAGTATCCCTGGCGCTTGCTGATGAACCAGCTTAGCCAAAAATCCTTAAACTCCAGGTTCAGTGAGAGACCCTGCCTCAAGGGAACAGTGGAAAGCAAAATGGAAGAAGGCACCCAGCATTCCCTCTGGCCTTGATGTACTCTCACAGGTGTGTGCACCTGTGTACAGATGTGCACACATACTCGGCCACACGCATGCACGCACACATGCACATGCACACACATCTGTAAAAATAAGTAATCGGAGCCACTCAGTGCTAAATCAGTGCTTACCAAGAACTATGCCACCGTAAGTTTTGGTAGCATAGCTAGTGATTCCTGCTAGTGAGGAAGCTGAGGCTCAGAAAGAGGCAGGGGCAGGCTCAAGGTCACACAGCATGTTAGTGACTTGGCCCACACCAAGTACCACACAATATAAGCCAATCAGACTGTTGACTGTCAGATGAAACTGATGATGTCAACAAGAGCATCCAGATGTAGAAAGATTTTTTTTTAAATCAGCACTCACGGATGGCACCTTCTGGTGTGTGTGTGTGTGTGTGTGTGTGTGTGTGTGTGTGTGGTGATCTTTTGTGACCTGGAGAAATTGCTAGAACATTCCCAGGAATGACCATGACGGGCCATCAAAGGTGCCTGTGCTTGGAAAGGTGCTGATGTTGTTAGAAGAGAGGAGGGAGACTTGACTGTGGACTAGGGAGGCTCTCACGGTGGGGGAGGAGGTGATGGACGGGTGAGACTAGCCAATGGGACTTTGACCCTTTCAGATGAAAGCAAAGCCCATGAGAAGAAGCAGGCATGCATCAGCTGGTGCCTGGGTGGGATCTGTGGGGTGGGCACGGGATCCTCTGGTGGGCTCTCTTTGTGGTTTTGAGTCTCTTAATGAAAAACCACAGCCTCCACTCAGACCCTGAGGGTACAGAATCCAGCCAATGAGCTAATAATTGGCTGAGCAGCTTAGGCCAGCTGACCCTTAATGGTGGGCCTCAGTTTCCCCGTAAGCAAAAAGGGAACCACCTCATAGCAAACTTAAGAGGGGGCCAGAGACAAGGTCTGTACAGCACCTGACGCCAACCTGGCACTTAGGGAACATTCCACAAGAGGGGGTTCCCATCGCCCCTCATTCCTGCGCATCGGGAAAGGTGGCCTTGGATGAGGATCTGGAGCGGATTCTGTTCGTGGTCAACCTGGGGACCATTGCCCCCATGGAGAATGTCACCATCTTCATCAGCACCTCCTCGGAACTGCCCACGCTGCCCAGCGGGGCTGTGAGGGTCCTCCTGCCGGCTATCTGTGCCCCGACCGTGCCTCAGTTCTGCTCTCACAGTTCCCGCTCCTCCAGACAACAGGCTCAAGGGTAAGGAGGCCCTGCCCAGACCGGGACCTGATGGGGGCAGCAGGAAGGAGACAGGGAGGGGTAGGGGAGGCATTTGGGCCCTCTCACTTTCAGAGTTCCAGAACAATCTACTGGAAATGCTCATTCTGGTATCGGCAGAAGTGCAAGGGTTTAGAGTTTCCAGGGGTTATTTTTTCAGTGCACATAAGAGGGATTTTTGTAAGTATTTACTACATGGTAAGCCCTAAGACTCAGCGTTAGGGATACAGAAGGGATAAAACATGATTCATGCTGTTTAGAAACTTGGAGGGGTTGGGCAGTGGTGGCACACACCTTTAATCCTAGCTCTTGGGAGACAGGGTGGGTGGATCTGAGTTCGAGGCCAGCCTGATCTACAGAGTGAGTTCCAGGATATCCAGGGCTACACAGAGAAACGCTTTCTTGAAAAACAAAAACAAAGAAAGAAGGAAGGAAGGAAGGAAGGAAGGAAGGAAGGAAGGAAGGAAGGAAGGAAGGAAACTCAGAGGGAAGCCAGGCATGGTGCCTTGCTTCTTTAATCCCAGCATGCAGGTGGCAGAGGCAGGCAGATGAATCTTCGTGAGTTCAAGGCCAGCCTGGTCTACACTATGAATTCCAGCACAGCCAGAACTACATAGTGAGACCCTGTGCCCAAGCACCAAGTTAAAGGAAAGAGATCATTACTATCATGCAACAGCCATGTGATTCTTTACGCCTGTGGCTTGAATGCATAACTAATTGTGTGAAAACTGGTTTGAGAGACGCTCTATGGGGCTACGGAGATGAAGAAAGGTTATCCAGAGGCCACACCAGGCTTCATAAAGACCCTGACAGTGAGGACAGGGCGGGGCCTAGGGAGGAGCTGACACAGGCAACAGGTGACAGGCTGTAAGGCTAGGAGAGCCCGGCAGACTCTGGAGCTCACCAATGCAGCAAAGAGCCATTAGTGAGTGTTTCCTGCTGGGCAAAAGGGGATCCTTCTACAGTGTGGGAAGGGAGGGGAGTGCCATGGCCTGGGAGGGACCTGCTGAGACCACAGTCTATGAAAACAAGTGTTGTGTGTGTGGCGGTGGGGGGGGAATGCAAAGAGGAGAGGATGGTGTGGCTGCTGTCCTACAGAGGAGACCAGGATTAAACAAGAGCTATGATCTTCCTCCTCCTCTTCTCCTTCCTCCTCTTTTCTTCCTCTGCTCTCTCCTCCTCCTCCTTCTCCCCTCCTTCCTCTTCCTCTCTCCACCTGCCCCCTCCTCCTGAGCTGCTGGGGATGGAGCCCAGACCCTTACACTTGCTATATAAATGCTCTACTGCAAAAAAATAAATAAATAAAATAAATGCTCTACTGCTCGAGAAGCTATGGAAATACATTCTAGAGGAGCAGGGAGTATATAAAGATCCTGGGGCTGTGGCAGGTCTGGTTGGCTATTGTTGGGCTGAAAACGGCTATGGTACAATGAAAGAGAAGGAGTCGAGCTCACAGGGGGTGGAACAGATCACATAAATCTTGAAGATGACCAGAGCAGGTGGCAAAGCTGACCTGGGCGGGTACCATCAACCCCGTGTGTCACTTTGCAAGTCCTGCCTATGGGGCTACAGTGTGGGTTTGAAAGGCAGAATCTCACTGGGGCATTCTGGACTTTAGGACACCAAAGACCCCTGGTGAGCTAGCCCCTCATTCCAGCTGGCAAAGTTGACAATTATTCCCTTGAGACATCTGTATCAGCTCCCCATGAACCTCAACCCAAAGCCAGCTGAGGCAGCATTTGCCAGGCCATTGGGAAACAGGGAGGGGGTTCCCGTTCACTGCCAGAAAATGGGAATTAGACTACAAGCCAGGAAAACCGTTTGACTCTGATTAGCACGTGCCCTTTATCAAGGAGACCCAAAGAGACGTTCTTTCTAAGGTCAAAAGGAGACACAGCAAGGCTGTTAGCGGTAGGGGTGGCATTTGCGAGCACAGGTAGAGGTGGTATTTGAGAGTCTGGCAGTGGATAGCCCTATGTGGCATCCAGCCACCAGCAGGAACTCTGAGTGACAGCATGTGGACCACGCTTAGAACAGACTGAGAGAAAGTGAGGGCATCACTGAGATGCATGATAGATCACAGTCACAAGACCATGTGACGCAGCAAGCTATGTCATACCAGAACCAGGCACATCTGGGCTGGGATGCCAGCTCTGCCAAATCCTAACCAAGGCCCATGGGTGACTTGCTCTGTTTGCTGGGTCTCAGTTCCTCATGTGGAAAATGCTGGGCTCTGATGTCTTCCTCCTGGGTTTGTGATGCAAATGATGAGGGCTGAGGCACTGGGAACCCATGTCTGGATCTTGGCCCATCCCAGGTACTCCCCAGTAATAGTTATGGTGTCTTTCTGCATCCAGCCCCTCCCTGGAGTCAGGCTGAATGTGACGACAGAGGTCCTGGGATGGGGGGAGGCTGAGCTATTTGAGATCCCAGTCTTCTTATGCTGCCTTCCTCTGGGCTTCATCCTCCTCCCCCTTCTCCTCTTCTTCCTCCTCTTCCTCCTCTCCCCACTTCATTTTCCTCCTCCCTCCTCCCTTTTCCTCCATATGCCGTTCTAGCAAAGACCCACACTGCTTCGGCATCCAGACTGTGAACTCCTGGAATGGGCTGTGTCTGGCCACCCTCCTGGATACAGAGGTGACCAACCCAATGGAATATGAATTCAACTTTCAGCTGGAGATTCGTGGGCCATGTCTGCTTGCAGGTGAGAGGGCGCTACCCAGGCCCAAAGAAACAAAGAAGACTAAAGGAGATGGGGTTTCTGACCCAAAGCCTCCAGAGAGATTGGGGGACAAGAAGTCACAAAGATCACCTATCCCAGACAGAAGTCAAAACTGAACACCTCAGAGCTGGATGGGCAAGCTGTCCCAAGATAAACTTCTCCCCGGGACAGCTTTCAAGTTGACCCAGTCCTACCTTGTGACTTCCCTGGGGAAATATCTTTCAGAGAATGGTAGGTAGCTCAACCTTCTCCAGAAGGCCATGGCTATAAAGCTGAACTCTGGTTCCCTCCTGGGGAATATTAGACTCCCCCTTGTATCCTTGCTTCACCCTAGAGATTCTGGGGTGAATTCTGGTAGTGGAACATTATAAAATTCTCTGAATAATTCCAACAAGTAACCAGGGCTGAGAACTGGGGTTAGATGGTTCCCTCCCAACCTACTTGTGGTTTTAAAGGACACAGGGCATGGTTTCTTATCAGTGAATGTTGATTGCAACGCAAGGAGCTCTCAAAGAGCATCCACAAAAATGCCCCACCCATGGAGCATCAAGCTCTTCCTGGTTGCTTAGCAACATTTGTGGGTACACCTTGTACCCCAAGAGCAAGTTAGATCCTGTGGTCAGGAAGGTGGGACCACTGGGCACAATCTACACTGTGGGGAAGCCGAGGAGGGTAACAATGCTCAAACACCAAGGTGTGTTCATGTTAGGGCCCGCCTGCCAATCATCCCCATCCTAGGTCTCAGTCTCCCTCTGAGCTCCTTTCTCTCTTGTCCATCCTCTGCCTTGTCTTTCTGTGCCATTCAGGGGTGGAGAGTCCCACTCATGAAATCCGCGCGGACGCCGCTCCCTCTGCACACTCAGCCAAGAGCATCATCATCACCTTGGCCAACAAACACACCTTTGACCGACCAGTGGAGATCCTCCTCCACCCCAGTGGTATGGTACCCCAGGGGAGGTGGTCTCTGCTGCCTTTGTGGAAAACATCGAGTCAGGGCAAGAACTGGGATGGGTGGGAGATGGGAGAAGAAACCAAAGACTTGCTCCCAGGAAAGTCTGTCTCTATTCAGCAAATTCCCAGCCCCAGGGATCACCTGCCTGGGGGGCCTTGAACCCCTACGCTCGCTGAGCAGAAGTCGCTCTGACAGTTTGTAAACTCTTCGAGCCATTCTTTGCCTCCTTAAAAGCTCACAAAGTGTCTGGCCCTGAAAAGATGCCACAGGCATTTGACTCAGCATCACATCAGTGTGACATAAGTGTAAACTGAGGCCCATGGAAAGAAGGTTGTACTAGGCTTCCTCTACTAAGGAGTCTTCCCCTGGCCCCTACTGCCTCACACACCCAGGGATGTCACCCTCTTCTCCAATTAAGTACCCACTCCCATCCCCCATGAAGAAATCACCCATAGAGGACAGCCCCTGCTGTGCCCCTCCCACCCAGGCAAAGGCTGAGTGCTGATCCCGTCTCTGCAGAGCCCCACATGCCGCACATCCTGGTGGAGAAAGGGGACATGACCCTGGAGGAGTTTGAGCAGCACTTGAAGGGAAAAGCGGATTTCATTCGGGGGATGAAGAAGGACAACAGTGCCGAGCGGAAGGTGAGCCACCAGTGACAGAGCTGGGGCACCCTGGGGACCTGTCTCACTGAACCATTGAGGCCTCTGACCCTGAAGTGGAGGGTCTGACTCTCCTGAGGGCACATCCTAGGCTGGTGGCCGTATCTGGACAAGAAGAGAGAGGTGTTTCCTTCTGGGGTCCCAGATACCTCAGGGAAGGCGGGCGTGGACTTCCTGATGCAACAATCACCCCATCCAGTCTCCCTGATGGCTCCACTTCTCCTAGTACCCTCCCCAGAATTCCTAAGCCTGGCAAGGCTTATAGCTAAGTACAGATGCCATCTTGGCCTTATTTCTCCAGGCCACTCCAGTTCTAGAGCTCTGTCTTCCCCTCCAGGCCTCAAAATGCTAAATAGGTTCCTTGTTCTTCCGTCATCTGGAGTCCTTATTATCTGCTACAGTGTGGATGAAAGAGGGGCCAGGAAAAAGGTCCTTTGACTCTGTCCTTCCCCAGCCCCGACAGTGAATGGTAAAGAGGTACTGACTGCAGGAGGGGCAGGGCAGAGGATGAACCTGCAGACCCACATTGAGCCCAGTGATCTCCCTTCCACACATGGTCCCCCACACAGCGCATATCCTGAATGTCAAGCGTGAAGGCACATCTCTTTCCGTGGGCTCATTTGCTGATAAGCAGTCTGAGGCCCAGGGCCCAGTGTTACCTCCAGAGTTAGATCTGGGGGTATGGGGACCAGAGGACTGGCAGCTCTCCTAGAGTGGGGTGCAGTGCTACTGCACTTAACTGTTCCCCACCTTCTTGCTGCCCTTGCTGGTACAGGGCAGTGAGAAGGGAAAAGGACAGGAAAATGTGGGTCACCTAACTGCTTGCACCAACCCCACCATGGGAGACTTCAGTGGAAACCCCTGATGGGGGAGATTCAGGGGGCTTGGTATCATCATTCTGCTTACTGAGAGAGGTGGGGGCACTGCCTTGCAGATAAATATGTTAGAAAGGGAAGCTGAGTGAGGTCTCAAAGATGACGGCAGTGTGGCATGCCAAAGGTGTCACCAAGCTCACAGAGCAAATGATACTGTGGAAAGGGTGACACCCCTCCCCCTCCCAGTCCTGGAGGTGGCTGCCCTGGCTGCCAGGCCTCAAATCAATTAGCTCTGGGAACACTGTGGCTAACGAGAATTAATATGCTACCTTGGGTTCGTTATGCAAATAGCCTGCATCCTCACGGAGTTCTGAGAATGACGGCGATCAAGAGGCAGCTGCTCAGAAGTGATGAGTTTATTGTAATTGGATAATGGCAGCTTGAGGAGCCATTAGGGAATCCGGAGCCAGGCACCCATTTGTCCCTCTGTAAGGCAGAATCAGGTTGCTTGAAGGAGCTCCTTGTGGCTGGCAGAGGTTGCTGTTTCTGTTTGGGGCTCTGTTGTTCAAAAAAGCCAAGCCGGGCAGTGGCCTTTAGGCAAAGGGGGTTCTGGGTGGGAGGGAGAGTAGGATTCACAGGTGGGAAAGAAGTCAGGTCAGGGGCATCCAGAAGGCGAGCATCACCCGGGAAGGATGGGTGATGAACTGCCAATGGCTGATTTAGCAAGGAAAGGGCAAGGCCCACTGAATGGAGGAGATGGAGGTCCTAAGAGAGACAGAGACTGAAACAAACTGACCAAAAGATGTGCAGAGAGGCCAGTAGCAGACAAGGCACACAGAGGGAGTGGGGCTGGAGAAAGAGAAAGAGCCAGTGTCTCTTTTATTCATTCAGCAAACGCTAAACGCCCAACTGATGCCAGGCGCTTTCTCAGTCCTAGAGAAACAACCCCAGAAAGGCCGCATTCCTTACCTCAAGGGACTTACTTATAGCCTAGAAGAGGAAGACCAGCAAGTGAGCAAGACTGACTGGGAGGGGCGGAGACCATGGGAGAAGCAGGACAGGATAATATGACGACAGGCGTTCTTTAGCCAGGTGTCAAGCAAATGCCCATTTGAGAACACGATCTGACTGGCAGAAGGCCCACGGGGAGAGGAGTGGGCAGAGGGCCCAGCCCCCGGGTTTGCAGGCAGAATAGCAGGATGCCGCTGAAACAGAGCCCAGGAGTGGACAGACGTGTGGGACTTCATAAAGTACAGCATAGACTCCATGCCTTAGAGTACAGGGAAGCTGCTGCCGGCCGCTGTGTGTACAGGGACCACAGGGAGTCAGCGAGAGGTATCTGTGGAGGCAAGAGAAAAGCCTGCCCCAAACTTGGGCAGTGCCACAGAGACAGCAAATAGGACACGTTCAGGGGTCTCTTAGGTAGGGAGTGTGAGTCTTTATTGAAGATTGGGCTGGGAGGGGTCCGGAAGAGAGGAGCACTGGGGACAACTGCTACGTCTCTGCTGTGAGCACAGGATGAGTGCTTATGCCCACTGTTAAGATGGAAAAGAGAGGGGGGGACGAGAAACACACACACAGAGGTGTGTGAATACAGACAGCCTGCGGTGGAGGGAATGGGGGTGGAGGAAACAGATCCAGATCAGAACGAGCTGGCTAGAGAGTCAGGAAAAGGGTTCTGCAGCCGTGTGGAGCCTGGGGCAGGCCCGGAGCCCCAAGGAAAAGACAAGGCCAGAAGATAAAGGCACTTGCTTGACAGCTAAGTTTAATCCCTAGAACCAACATGGGGGAAGGAAAAAACGGATCTCTACAAGTTCTCGTCTGACATCCTCATGCACACGCTCACACAATAGCAAAGTTCATAACAACACATCAATGTAAAAACAAATCAACAAAAACAGAAAGCGAACTAGCGAAAGGTTGATAGTAATGTGCCTGCCGTGCAAGCATGAAGCCTGAGTCCCATCACAGCACCCACATAAAAGCCAGGCTCACAGGCCTGTGATCCCAGGGCCTGGGAAGCAAAGACAGGGGCAGGGGATCCCTGTGGTTTTCAGACCAGTCAGTCTACCCGAAAGGGTGATATTGAAGTTCAGTGAGAGATCGTATTTCAAAAACTAAGGTGGAGGGCAAATAAGAAAGACACTCAAAGATGACCTCTGGCCTACACACACACACACACACACACACACACACACACACACACACACACACA